ATTTAAAAAAAAAAAAACCCCCCCCCCCCCGACTGGTTAACTTACTGCCCGAAATGTCGCCTCCCTTCCCCAGACCTCACTCACTTGATATGGACCTGTCCTGATATTCAATCCTTTTGGATTGCTGTGCTACGTTACATGGACTCCTGCTCCGGTAGGTCTCGCACTCTAGCACCAGATATTTGTCTCTTTAATGCCCAAATAGTAGAATTGCCATCTTCCCCTTCTCTGTCAAGATGAGAGCATCTTTGTATACTAGCTGCCAAAAAAGCAATACTAACCAATTGGTGGTCTACTACAGCTCCTACTACCTCCAACGTGAAAACACACTTGCACCGCCTCATGTTAATGGATAAAATAGATACCATCACTGATCTACACAAGGTCAATCGTTTCTTTGCAACCTGGTCTTCTTTTGCGGCTTTAGAGCTGACACATGATCAACTTAAATCCCTCATGGACGTGTTCCAATACTCTAAATGGTACCTGGAAACGTAGCTCACTGGGACATTAGGAGATTTAGATGTTCTTTGATACACCTTTTCCATCCCCCCTAACACAGCCTTGATCTCGTTGCTTTCCTGTTACCATCTTACCCTTTTGTCTAATATATACTATACCTACTACAAGGTCATATGGTAATTCATCCATGTAATCAAATTTTGTATAGATTGCTTTATCTCCTTTCCTTCACGGATGCCATTATGCCACATACAAGACAATGTTGAATACTTAAGCGTAGGATGTCAGAAAAACGGTTTTATGTATATCCACACTCAAAGCTCTGCCTCCATATGTTTTCTTTTGTGACCGAATTGTATGTAACATAACGTATTGCTGTCGACAGTGATTGTCCTCCTATTGTCATGTCACTACTGATGATTATTTTTTCAATAAAAATTTACATGCTAAAAAAAAACAAAACAAGTTTTGGCAGGAGATACACTTTAAACATAAAACTTCATCTTTAGTGCTTAAATGAACCTTACCCAATATTCTATCTAACCTTAACCTAAAGCTGGCCATACACTATGCGAATTTCAGCCAGTTTCTTGATAAACTGGTCGAAATTCGCACAGTGAGCAGCATCCAGTGCCCATTCAGCCGACATCCCTTGATCAACTGACCAAAGGAGCCAGTTGAAAAATCTTCGATTTAACAGAGGCGGCAGCCAACCAGCTGCCATCTCTGTTCGGGTATTCAGACAGTGGCCAGCGGCCGTCAGAATACAATGAAGACAGCAGGAGATTCTTTAGTCAATGTTCGTAAGCATTGATGGAGGAGTCTGTTGTATTTTATTTTTTCAGCCCGCAGGTTGAACAAAGAAAAGATTACAGTGCATGGGCAGCTTAACACTAAAAGGGTTATTCACTAAAGGGTGAAGAGTTTGGAGAAGGCAGGAGAAGTGAACAATCTAGGCCAAAATAGCTGAACTGGAAATGGAGCTGAATTGGAGATTTTTTCCAAATCAGCTATTTTGTCCTAGATTGTTCACTTCTCCTCCCTTCTCCAAACTCTTCACCATTTTGTAAATAACCCTGCAAGTTAACTACTGAAACCTTGAAACATAGCCTCCCTCCCAACACTGAAGCTTAACCTTAGCTTAAAATGTGATTCTTAGTAGGTAAAAAACCTCAACTCTTAACACTAAACCCATTTCTCCAATTACCCTTAACCTTCCACTAACTCTCCCTTAAACTGGATGGTTATCTCATTTATTAAACATAATTTTGGAGGCTCATAGCCCCTATATGATGTCCTGTATTCCATATGTTGTAGGATTGTCTATCACCTCAAATTCCTACATGTACAGTATGCTCCACAGATGGTTTAATTCAACAACTCCAGAATTACGGGTTGCACTAATTATCTAACAGATAAGAATCTATTCTGTAACCTTCTTTTGATGTAACTGCCCTCTGCCCTTTCACACTGCAAACCTTGTTTTTCTGGATATTCCAGCTGTTAAATTAATAGTGGAGCAGTATACAGAAATTAAGGGTGGAAACATAACATTAAGTAGACACCCCATCTAGGACTAAGTAAACCTATCTTGAATAAATACCTTTTATGACAGGCTAGTGAACCTCAATTGTATTTTTAATTGAAGTTAGCCACATACAGTCACAATTGTTCTTACTTGGTACAGTCTGTTAATACATAAAAAGGGTTGTATGTGAAGAGTTTAAATTCATGCTGTATAAAAAATATCGGTTGATAAGTCAAGTACGATCAAATCATGTTCTGAGGGCATTTAAAGGCAGAATACCAGCTGAATATGTAATTATGTGGGTACAATTTTTGTGACGTTTTTACTTGCCAAAATAATTGTACTAGTCTGACCAGCCAGCCGTTTCATTCACCCCCCTCTGCCAATCTATATAGCCAGAAGGTAGACATAACTTTTCACTATTGCTGGATAGCAGATTCCAATGCCATCTACCAAACTTGCCAAATCACAAGACTATAAATAAGCATCATTACACAGATATGTGGTTCTTTTTGTGCTCTCCCCTCTCTCTAAACAACTCACCATCCAGCTCCCAGTGCCTGAAAGCATGTTAGAGTGGCATCACAATGCATATGAATCAGATTTGTTCTAAGTTTATTTTGCTGTGTGAAAGACTGTGGGAAGCTGCAATGAAAATAGATCTTGTGCATTTATTCGTGTAGTGTTAAAAATGGAACTGAAACTATACACAATATAAAAATGTGTGCTTGTAAGTTGTTTAGATTTCTATAAACTGCTTGTTCATGAGCTCAGGAGTAACAAATGGGGAAGTCTAGGCAGTTCACCAGACAGAATACCACATTTATTTGGCTCAGACAGAGCTGATCTAAACACAGGCAGGACACAAAGGGCTGGAAGAAGCTGCTGCACATTCTCGTCTGATCAGAATTCTTTATTTTCACTAATTGAGGTGTCTGTGAGGGCAGGAAGTGGCTATAGATGTTTCTGTGTATAGAATGTCAATGCTACATTAAAGTGACATTAAACTCAGGAGTTAAATCTTAAAAATGCATTTAAGTACATTAACAATACTGGACCTTATTTGTGTATCACTCAGTTGTACATCCTCACATCATCTCTGACTTCATGCTGATACTGTCCTTCCTTCTGGAGGGTGGCTACTTTTGTCCCCATGGTCCCACTCCAAGCTCACTCCTGTGATGGACTACAATCTCAATACAAATTAGTAAACTAAACGTGAGATTGTAGTCCATCACAGGAGCGAGCTTGGAGCGGTGACTACTTTAGAGCACAGACAGGGGCCATGGGGTACAAAAGTAGCCACCCTCGAAAAAAGGAAGGACAATGTAAGCATGAATTCGAGCTTAGCGATTCACAAATAAGATACATTCTTGTTAATAGGATACTTGAATGCATTTTAGGATTTACTTCCTAAGTTTAGTGGCACTTTAAAGAAATAATACATTATATTTTAATGAACACAACTAGAAAAACAATATTTTATCAAAACTGGAGCAGACAAAATCTGGATCCAATCAGCTTCTCTCTTCAGTTTGTTCAGTTAAGCTTTGAAAATGAAGGGTGGATGCTGTTTGGTTGCCATGCATAGCTGCTCCAGATTTTGTCTGCTTCAGTTTTGATAAATTCCCATCTGTGTGTTTATATTTGCTTGGTGTTCTGCAAAAAAAGTGCTTGCAGCATTTTTGCAGATCGCACTGGACTGTCACTGGAACAAAGGCACTAGTGTGCCTGCGTTCTGGGTGCGGGCGATCGCACTAACAGTGGGTGTGGTGCCATTGACTTCAATGCACTGCCACCCCCCTTCCGGCCCCTCTACGCAGGTGTTTTTTCATTGGTAGATCTCATTGAGCTCGTCATTTGAAAAGTAGATCTCCAGACGAAAAATTGTGGGCGCCCCTGCAGTAAACTATAAAAAAAGTGTAGTGTTTCACTGTAGAGCATTACCCTTACTTCATGTCCTGGAAACCACACAGGAAGTGATAAGCAATCTCCCTAATAGGAACAAAGACAGCAACAAAGCAAGACAGAGGTTCTAAACTTCACCACTCCACTTGAACCTAAACAATATGTTTTGGATGCTTTTGGGCTTTAACACATCAGCAGTCCCCAATGGACCTTTTAGTTTCAAATATTGCCAACAAAAAAAGACAATGTTCCAGCAGATCATGTTTCAGTTGTAGCAGAAATACCTTTCTCATCTCCCACATTCATGGCCCATTCCTTTTCTCTGCAATATTTATCAATATGATCCAGCACACTCTGAGGGTTGCCACGTACTGCGTTCTGCAGCACAAAATTCAGGATCCTCTGTTCTCTGGTTTCAGCCATAGATACTCCCAAGCTTTAGTTCAGTCCTTGTACCTAGGGAATTAACATGACAGCAATGGCTTATTATGCATTTGTTGTATCCTCAGTGCAGGCAAAATACACTATGTGCATGTAATTATGAAGCAATGCACATGAAATAAGCAACTGTAGATATTATATGATATTCATATACTGTACTTATGTAAAGTTTTTATTACAAACTTTTCTTTTACAACAGTTGTTTTTTATTTTTGCAACAGATGTTTTTTATTTTTGCACAATATAGAATAGGAATAAAGGCGAAACGGAACACTTTGTTGTATGGACATCCAGAATCATAGGATAAATTCACATATCATTCATATTGATCCCTAATACACTAGCAAAAGTTGTACATAATATAGAGGGTGGTAGTGAAGTGAATGACAATAGTTGATAAGTTGACCAGAATAGAACAAGCAAACTAAGCTGATAGGTAATGGAAATGAGGGAGCGGTCTAGTGTATGACAGCCATAGTTACCAGAATTTCCAAAATTTGAAATGTTTATCGTTAAGTATCGCTGTCAATTTTTCAGTAACCATAGCGCTATGAATTCTGTTTTTTAATTTGTCAAAGCTGAGGATCAGTGTCTTCCATGCCATTGTGGTAATGTATTTTGTCACTGTACCAATGTGGGTGATTAAGACATGTTTGGTGTGAAAAACTGTGGGTTTGGGTTAATGTAGAAGAGCTTTCCAGGGATCTTTACACAAGTTGCAGAAATGGACTGAATGAATTAAATGATATATTCCAATCCATAACCTTTGAACAAAGAGAAAAGCCCACCAGATATAAAACATCATATCTGGTGTAGAACAGCCAAACATTTTGGTGGATAAGTGGGAATGCATTTAGCCAAGCGAGCAAGAGTGAGAGACTGTTGAAGCAATACTTTATAGGAATTCTTTCTCCAGAGCTATAAGATTTCTAAAACTCTTAGTTAAAGAGAACCAAATAGCTGTACGCTAATGCAGTAAGCAAGCAATTTATTGGACTCTGTATTGTTTATAGAGGCATATATAAGTGTAATCAGCACTGGCAATTGAGGGTCTGATCTTCACCATTTTGAATATAGTTTTGTAAGGTAGGGAGCTTACGTTTTCCTAAATAAGGACTGAATATAGTGGCATAATTGTATAAAGCATCTGAGAAAGTTAATTAGAGGCTGTATCCTGGCAATCTTTTAGATGTTGAAAAGACCTGATCCCATTTACAGTTAGCAACAAGTATATGTCTCGGGTTGCATGGGTTGTCCACCATGGGAATAATGACGGTACATCAGAAACTTTTCAACATTACCTACAAGTTTACAACAGCTAAAACCTGGATGCCCTGCTACTAAAAACACATCTAAAAATATTGGCATTTTCTCAGTAAATGATGACAATGGTGTAGGCACTAAAATGAAAGTTTCAGCAGCACTTTTGACCACTAAGTGCATGCATGTAATGTCTCAGCATGTATGCACAATAAGTACTATCCTTGTCGCACTCCTTACCGATATGTCCCTTGTAGTGGGGGGTGCTCGCAGTGACTGCGGATGGCGCCGCGAATGTCAGCAAAATTGTAGAAATGTCACCAGCACACCAGTCCTTTTAACCCCTTCATGACTGAGGCCTTTTTTTCATTTTTTTTTGCACCCATGTTATATTCCACATTTTAGGCCTGGAAATGACTTAAAACCCCCAAACATTATATATTTTCTGAATGCCAAGACCCTATAGAATAAAATGGTGGTAGTTGCAAATTTTTATGTTGCGCAATATTAGCGCAACTCCTTATTAAACCCCAAAATGTAGTGACAAATTTTATTAAATGCCCCAAAGCACAACAAAATACCAATCTTTTTAAAGAAATATAAAAGATGAGGTTACAACGAGTAAAACGATACCCAACATGCCCAGTTTACAAATTGCGTGCGACCGTGAAACGGCGAAAAACTGCAGTACCCCAAAAAGTCCATAGAAGACGCTTTAAAAGCCCCCACAGGTCATCAATTTAGAGATACCCCAAAATACTGGCTCTAGAAAAAAAAAGGAGCCCAGAACTGACAGCCCAGGGACCAGAAGTGATGCAATCTGCATCGCTCCCGGTCCCATAGAACGGGGAGGGGATCGATGAACGGAAGTTCGTCGACCTCCTCCCCAGCTCCCCGCGGACACCAAGGAAGCCGGTCCCGGAGCCGGGAAGCATGGCTGGGGGCGGCCCATTCTTCGGGACACAGAAGCGATCTGGCGACAGGTAAGTCGCCAAAATCGCTTCTGTTGTAAAGCCGACAGTTGGCTTTACAAGTTTAAACAGAGTCCCCCCAAAAAATGTGCAGATGTTAGCTGTCATATACAGTATAATCAGTGTAGGAAAGTACTATGTTTCATTAACCACTTGCCGTCCGCTCGTTGTAAAAAAAAAAAAACGGACAGACGGCACTGCAGCATTGGTGGGTTGCCGTCTCCAGAAGACATTTTTTTTCTGCAGGCGCGCACGGGCAGAAAGGACCCGACCAATGCACCAATCCGTTACCGGGTGTTTCACATATAGACGATCGGCGGCTCCATAGCCCGCCGATCGTCTATATGTGCTTGTTTTTTCGAACGCAACACCCCCACCCCGCCTCCGTTTTTTTGCAAAACCCCCCTGACCCCTAACCTTCAATCCCGGGATCTGCTGCCCCATCTGCGGCCCGGGACCGGCTCGGAGGGCGTCAAGAGGACGGGAGATCAGCTCCTTGCTGACCTCCCTCCGGGCTGTGAATGCAGAAGTGATGTGTATTACATCACTTCCGCATTCACCTGTCAGTCACCTGGCTGCTATAGCCAGAGAAAAGAAGCTGAGGAAGCGGATCTCTGCTTCATCAGCTTCTTTTGGGGTTCCCAGGTGACATAAGGTCCTGTGTGCAGAGGAAGATCCCGCCCACTGGCGCTGGCAGAGAGCCAGCTGTGTGTAATGTAGGAGAGAGAGAAGAGAGAATGTCCTGGATCTGCGCTGTACGTGGTTTCCAGTGAAACGTAATGTGAAAACACGCAAGGGCGCCACCTGCTGGTGCTAGCCAGTATTGCAGGTGGATAACACACAGGAACTATTTCTATTTCACAAAAAGGGACAGTGATGAAAATGGCTGTTGTGTGTGGACCTGCTGAAGTGTTAAAAGCAGGACTGTTAAACAGAGATGCACATAGATTATGGAATAAGTGGACTTGTTGAAATTAAACATAATGAAATCTAAACAGTTGGAACGGTATATACTGTATATGTAAAAATTGCCATTAGTTAAGGTACATGAATATCTAAGAGATGTTGATATATATATGGGTTTATCTTTCGTCCAAGAAACATGATAATCCAAGGTTAGTGTTAAATCCCCTAGGATGAATAGTGTCTAGAGTGTATATCCAGTGGCTTCACGACGAAGGAGTTGTTTATTTCTGTCACCACCCCTAGGATGTCTGCTGACATGCTCAATGACCATGCCTCTCAGGTCATGCATTTGGTGTGGTTTATGTGCGAAATGTACTGCTACAGGTTTATTTGCATCCTGTTCCTCCCCTTTCTGGACATTTAATAGTGCGATGTGGATATCGCTTCTACGTTTCTGGGATCTTCGTTTAAAAAGGGCCTGTTGTCATGCCTACAAGGAACATGGACATTTAAGGATATAAAACACAAAACTCTGTGTTACAAGTAAAGAAGCCACGAATGTTCCATGAGATAAACCATTCAGAAATAAAACAAACAAGTTACATAGTTGAGTATCACCAGACCAAATGAGGAATATGTCATCTATGTACCTTAACTAGGCTATAACATGCTTTTTAAACATCTCTGATTGAAAGACATGCTGTTTTTCAAGAAATCCCACAAATAGATTTGCAAACGCAGGGGCAGCAGAACTGCCCATAGCGGTTCCACGGATTTGTTTAAAAAGCTGTTTTTCAAATAGAAACATGTTATTTTCCAGTATAAACTCAAGGCAATGAAGAATGAAGGAAGATGGAATATCATGTGTATCATCACATGTCAAGAAGTGTTCGACAACTGAGAGATCAGCTTTGTTGGGTATGCATGTATATAACGATGAAATGTCCATAGTCACAAGTTTCCAACCATGGTTGACCTATTCTAAACTGTGTAGTTTCTGTAAAAGTCCCCAGTGTCTTTAATATATGCTGGTAGTTTGATAACGAGAGGCTGGAGTTAAAAGTCCACAAACTGAGCCAAAGGTTGCGTGATTGAGCCTGAGTCTGACACGATAGGACGGAATACTAGAGTATTAACGCCTTTGTGTATTTTATGTCATCCATATACAACAGGGATGCATGCATGCTCATTGTACAAGAAGTTGGCCGTGGAATCACTAAGCAACCCATTGGTTTTACCCATATCAATGATGGATAGTAATCCTGCTTGCACATTGCGCAGTTTGTCATGCATGGACATTACATAACTGTTATCATCTGATAATAAGGATATCATACCTCGTCGGTAGTCTGCATAGTCCATTATAACCACAGCACCACCTTTATCGGCTGGTTTATTGATAATGTTGGTGTCATCCTTCAAGGATGACAGTGCGTCGAGGTCCTGCCTGGTCATATTAGTATATGTCCTAGACTTATGGTTAGCATGCAGTACATCATGTTTAATGGTACATGCAAATGCTTCAATTGATTGAAACTGTCCTGGTTACAGATCCATGCGGCGTGCACGGTCGTAACGGGCCGTTCCCGGAAAGGACAGGTATTGCGTGTGATTGTACGCAGCAGCCTGTTCTTCTCTATGGGAGGATGTGGCCGTACTCTGCCATACGCTCACCCACCCTGTACATCCATGCAGGTGTCCGAGCACAGACACCCGCATGGATCTGCAGTTCGGGTGTGCATACGGCCGCATCCTCACATAGAGACAATCACACGCAACACCTGTCCTTCCCGGGAGTGGCCCGTTATGACCGTGCATGCCGCATGGATCTGTATGGGCTGACACTTAGCTGTGTGAATGAGGCCTTAGCGCTGCAGGGAAGCAAGGGTCTAAGGTGGGCTGTAAAGGATCTCTGTTTGGCTCTGCAGGGTCTCAGGCAGAGACTGCCAAAGACCCCGCACATCCCACCATAGACCTTGCACAGCACTCCTGAGTCCCTGAAAACCCCACCAGAGACCCCTCCAGAGCCCACAATAGACCTTACACAGCCTACCATAGACCCTGCACAGAGACTCTATTATGGGCTGTACAAGGTCTCTTTCCCTGCACACATGCTGTTCCTCTTACCTGCAGCTCCCCAGCCTGCTTCCAGGACATGCATCTTCGTCCGGCCGCCAAAGCTTCTTCCTCCAGCTACCCGCAGCCTCCATCGGTCGGGCCGCCTCTCTCACGGTCCGATCAGCAGTCTTCCTTCTCTGCTCCGTGCCTAGACCCGGCGACACAACGGCTTCCTGGACCCACCTGCAGACTCCGGCGGCCAGGCCGCGTCTCCCTCGGCCCCGGCCACGCCTCCTCTGTCACCCAACAGCTCGCGGCCAGTCCCTACTAGAAGCCACCTAAGTAGGCAGCACAGGCTGCCCGATTTTGTACACCCGTCGACGGCTTTCCTCTTTGCAGGGGGGGGGGCGAAAAATGCCACCCCCCTGCAAAGTGCGGCTCCAGACAAACGCCTTGTTTGCCTCGCGGCAAATACACCCCTGAATGGGTCATGTTGGATGAGAGGTATATGTTAAATTCAAGCCACTGGTAAGCGCTTTCCCTAGATAAGAGACCAGGCAGCATATGATATGCCCTACACAGGAATGCGAATGTTCCAATGATCACCTGGCAGTCAAAATCTGTTTCCAGGAAAGCAAACCCATGGGTTGCAACCTGTAAGTTACTGCATGGTCAATTCCAACCCCCCTTTGAAGGGATCAGGGGTGAAGATTTGGCAATTCTTACATTTTCCATCTTCAAATGAGCCCACAGCTTTATTGCTTGCACAAAGGACTTACCTAAATCTTTAAATCAGATCCCTAATCGAACATAAATCTTTTCTTACTGTAT